ATATGTCATTATTACAAGGTTTAACAAGTTCAAAACTTCTACTTGGTTTTGAATAAAAGATGACTCCTTTCCATTTTTGCAATTTTGTTTTACTCGCCCTGTACTTTCTGATTCGCAACACACGTTTTTTTTTTTCTTTTTGGGTTGTTTTTTGTTGTTGTTTTTTGGTGGTTTTTTTTCTGTAACGCCCAAACTGCCCGAGCATTCTATGGTTTATGATCCATCAAGGAATTGATTTAATGTGAGACAGCGTTAGGAAGGTGGTAACGGGTTAAACGTGTCGTATTATTTGCATAAATAATTACAATTCACTTGGCTTTCAAAAAAAAATACAAAAAGAAAGTTTTCTAATTTACCTACTTTGGATTTAATAATTGAATATGGTGAATGTACACAGGTATAATTAACATTATATTAGCTAAGTGTTAATGTATAACTTGATTTAAATGGTAAAGGTTTTCATTTTTTTTATCGCAGTTGTAAGCGGACTTTTTCAGTAATGTGAAGCGATTGTAGTCTTGAAATTAGAAATTATATAACATATTAAGCATTGATAGACGTATCATTACAAAAGCAAATATTCTTGAATACAATATTACGGTATAATTTAACTACTATATTGGAAGCGGTGAAGGTTTTCATTTTATTAGATTTTGAAGTGAACGAAACTTTATATGTGTTACTCAAATGGTATCGAATCAGGGTGAAACACATCACCATCAATACAAATGAGTGCTTTGAAGCCACAGTGTAAGGTTTGATTATGAGCTCAATACTGTTTAGGATTAGCCTATAAACCCAAATTTGAAAAAGCAGGAAACTCATTTTCAAAAACAGTCCGGATATATCAAAACGTTGGTATCAAACATTGCATTACAATACATTGTCATCAAATGAGCAATAACACAATAAAAGTATTCGCACTTCTCTATAAATAAAGTAATAAAAAGTAAAAACTGGTGGGCGAATGGTAAATGCTAAATCTGTGCTGTATGTCTGTGCTGTTGTCATTCACTTATTTTCCCCGTTAGCCCATTTGTCTCCATGCGAAAAAAAAAATGTTTCGCACTAAAGTATAGACCGAAAGCACAATGCCAGTAAGTTTTCGACCATGCTCACGAGTATTCGATATCTAGAATAGAACTTTTTTTGTCAAATAGCGAGTCGAACGGTCATTCAGGACGACGAAAAGAGCAGTGATTTGAAGTACGGTTTTTTTCTTGAAATTGCATATGCATTCGAGTAAGATGTATATGAAAATATTTCTGTGTTATCGAGGAGTGGTAGAACGTTTGATTTTTTCAATCAAAAATGATTTCGAAATAAAAAAAATTGACGGAAGTTGAAGAGGTAAATTGGTGGATTCCATTTCCAAATCGTCGGAAAGCTTCCTAAAATTCCACTTTATTATTACTTAAAGTTATCATATCCTTTACAAATCCCCTTAAACTTTGAAATTAATTGTGTTTTCTTTCTTTCAACCAATGTAACTGACTGGATTGTTCTCGTCTTCGATAAAAGTGTCATTTTTCGTTCGTCAAACTTAACCGCAGTGCGTCGTCTGCTAGCGGGGAAAACCGTCATCGTCTGCAATTTATTGCCGTGCGCATGCGCGTGCATAATGACCATTCTTATGGGCCGTGAACATACGTGACCATGCTGTATTTGTATAGTCCTAAATTCACAAAGCAACGCCCCAGGTGCATTCTGCGCGACATCACGCAGTACACGCGACGCAAGACGCGCTCGCCAATCTCCATAAAAGGAGTTGTTTACATCTTACTTGCAAGCTGGACACTGCATTGTTTAGCTAGAGAAAAAAAAACAGGTTTTTTTTGACCGAAAAGGTACTTATGATTTGGAATACAAATGTTCTTGGTCGGCATTAATCACTCTGTGTAAGACCGCTTGGAGTCTGGGTGCTGATAATTACCCTCGCCTTCCGCTTGGGTAATTATCAGGACCCAGACTCCAAGCGGTCTTTAGACGGGGTGATTAAAACTTTTGAAGCACACATTTATTCCCTTATTAAAGATCAGCTATTCTCGATATTTTCTTTTGAGCCACATTACCACATTTTTCTTGTACCCTATCTTTCTTTAAATGAAGGTAGGAAACGTAATTCTGCTATTAAAACGTTATGTGTTTCTTTTTGTATCTTACCCGTGATCCTCCCCGCTTGCACGTCATTTGCCAGGCATGCTTAATTCTACACGGTGTTAGTTTATCTCCTATTCGTGTGAGTGCAGCTAAGCAAGTCTACAGGCACGCTCAGCCATATCACCAGATAATGAAGTAACAGTTAAAATTTGATGTCACGCTGTCGATCAGATGGCGAAATCGGCTAACAATGTACACATTATGCTTAAAACGTCTGCAGGCAGCGGGCGGATGCGAGTTAAAGTGGCGCTTGCTATTCAACGAATCGTCATATGATGCGTCCATAGTTAAATATTAAACCCATTAATAAAAACTAGTTGACTGCATTCACATCGCACAGGTTATGAACCGTATCATTGACCTTAACCTTTACAGACATTGTTCAATTAAGCTCACCAGATGCATCTACGTGCGTACGGTTGTGGCCCAGTAACTGGGTCATATTGGCCACGATATCAAATTATATTTCCTTCAAAGTGAGAGAGTTTATGGAAACTGAAGCCCTGGGACTTACTCTTGAGGTTATGAACCCCCAAAATTTCTGGGTTGAGTTCAGGGATAAAACTGACTCATTTCACATTCTGCGTAAGAACATTTGGGCTGTTTTGGGTTATAAAATGTCGTTGTAAATTACCAAAGAAGAGCGTCACCGCTTGGCAGGATTCAGAAGCGCGTAGTTTTGCAAACCAGCAGCCGATCGGAGAGTCAACAGCATTTGTTTTCTTTCCGATTAGAGTTTACAGCATGTGGTTTACACTGTCATTGGAATGATTGGTACCTAATTATGAGAGGAATTATTATTATTACATGTTAATTCCCGTTATTCCCGTTAGATGTCCTACATTTCTGAGTTTCGCATTATAAATCTGATCGGGTTGATAACTTATAATAGTAAGAACCAACATTCAAAGATTAATACGTTGCATTATTATTACTGTGCAGTCTACTGTACAGTTCTCATGTTATGAGGTTATGAATATTTAATGAGGCAATATTGTGACCACCAAATCTCTACAATACAATAAGTTATGATTCCAGTTCTTTGCACATTTACTCCTATGGACTGAAAATGCACCGCCTGAAATGTCAAGGTCATGTGACCCTTACTAATGGGTGTTTCGCAAGTGCACCGATTAAAGATTTAATTTCAATTTTAATAACTGCAAACTTCTTGAAAACAATCTTTACATGTTAATCATTTGGTATGTCCATTAGACATTCAAAAACATGTTGGGAACAACTCACTCCGTGGTTGTTCTGTTACAACCACAATCTCTAGTTCATCATTATCGTTGACAATTTATAAAGTGCGGTCAGTATACTGCGTCCTCTCTTGTTTTTGTTTTTTTTGACGCAATAAAAAATCATCATTTTCTCTAAACAAGACAGTGTTGCTTTTGACATGGTCCAAATTGGTAATAGTGTGTATAGTTTGTATTCAGGTTGCTCCCTAGTATCCATCAGGTCTGGAATGTCAACGATAGACGCGTATAGAATGCGTATAAGACGCGTATACGCGTATAAGACGCGTATATTCTACCACCTCTTGTGTATGATTTCTGATCCTACATATTAGCGTCCTCAACTTCTAAGACGGGGTCATAATGAATGATAGCAACCACGCGTATGTCTATAATGATTTTCCCATTTATTTGAATACCATAGTCACTATGTAGAATTCCTGTCTCCATAGCTCTGCACGGTGAGTGACCAGTTCCTCATTTTAAAAGACGACAATAACGAATTATCAATTGATTTACATACCGTTATAAAGGGGTGATCAAAACCATCCTTAAAAGGTATACATATGGAGACCTTACAGTGGCGTAGCCAGCAACTGCCCTTTTTCATTCGAGTGCCCCTTTATTCGCAAGTGTACCCCGCCCCTCCAATATTTTTAAAGATTGCCCTTTTTTATTGTTAAACACTGCCTTTATTTACAACTAGACGCTGTAACGATATGACTTGAAGCTTTGCATGGCGGATGAGATAAAGTAGAAAGACTGCAGGTAACACCATTTTGGAGAGTAATCTCTTTTTTGATGAAGTGTGGTACTGAAAAGAATCGGTTATTGAGTGTAGAACTCCCCGTTTCGCAAAATGTGCTCTGTCCGTCATCGGGAGGGTGTGAGATCTAACAAGTGCCTTTTGGGAAATTTTGCGCGTTTGCCTCCCTGAAAGACATCATATATTGTCCGATAGTGTGTATGATTGTCCGCTTTGAACAGCGCCGTCATTGAAAGATGGTTCCAGTCCGCCCCCCCCCCCTATTTTATTATACGGAGGCCAAGTGTCCAAACAACCTGTCTACATTTCAGCACGAATGTAAGAGTGCCTTTTTCAAGAAATGAATACCCCTATTAAGAATGACCTTGCTACGCTTTTGCCGTACATGTGTATTTTTAATGAACCACATAAAATAAGGAGACAAAAAGCCAAGCTGGTTTGGGTACATTGATGGAGAACCATTTACTCTAAGGCTTTTAGGCCGGACCAAATTGAATTGAACAATTCTATAAGGCCAAACCACATAGGCCTACAAAGAGTCTACATTCTAACTAGAAAAAAAATAAGAGAATCCTCTAAAAAATATATACCAAAACAACTTGATTTGAATAGTTACTTACTGGTAGAACGATTAGTTACAGTAATTGTATTATCAGGTACATCAGTATTATTTTAAAAACATATATCAATTGATTGGCAAAGCCTTGAAAACTTTTTTCTAAATGTTAACCTTTGCTCAGGTAATAGGGTAATACAGGCTTGGAATGCCTCAGATTTCCAGTCCCCCATCATTTTAACTATTTCACAAGGAAGGCCAAATTACAAAACCCAAGTCGCCCCTCCTCTGCAATAACTGTGAGTGCTAACAGTGATTGTGGGAGGTGTAGTTTAGTAAACAGCTTGGAGAAAGTGGTCTTGACTTTGGAGGGAGAAAAAGGCTTGTAAGCTGAACTTTGAGGTGTGATGAAGGCAGGCCTGGGCTATCGCAGTGTACATTTGGAATTACAACATGTATTTCAATTTACCATAATGTAGCTTCATTTGAAATCTATTGCCAAGAGTTCTAAGTTAATTCCTTTTTGGGTGTCTCGCAATACTCATACGCCAAATTGTTTTTTGTTTCGATGACCCGCTTTTGCCATTCACCTATTGTATTCAAATGTTTACATGTACAATGTCGCATTACACCTTGTGAAACATCTTAACTGATACTTCGTCAGCCACTGCCAGCTGCCCATCTGGCGTGAATGTAATTCCTAATGGGTTATGCAAACCCCGAACGAGGCAGTCAAGAAACCTGCCATCTAGGTCATAGTGGTGAATATGACCTTTGTAACGGGGCCCCAGCATTGTAACATATATACCGGAGCTATCAGCGTATACATCTAGGCAGTACTTTGCTGGTTTTCCGAGGATGGTTGGTTCGATTGTGAAGAGTGTATAACTATTACCATCAGTAACGGCCACGAATGGTCTAGCTCCGTAATTACTGATTATAACTCGATCCTTGTTGTCAACAGCCAGCTGGGCAGGGCAAAGTTTTACTGGTACGGTACGTAGAAGCTCACCATTACTAGGTTTGTGTTCAGTATACACCCATCCTTGGTCATAAGTAACAAGGATTGTACCATCCTTCTTGACCGCTACACCCCTGGTCCTGGGAGAGTGGGGCTTACCGACCTCATCTGCTGGCACCGTTGGGAACTCGTATGCCAGCGAGTTGTCGCTGTTGAACACCTTCACCTTTGGATCGTAAGTCTCAATAACCACGAAGCGATTGTGAATGGGTTCAACTGCAATTCCACGTGGACCTATGGGGATTAAAGATACACAAAAAATACAGTTATTGAAATCAAGGAGGCCTGCTAGTCAATCTTCAAAGAATCATTATCTGAACTAGGCCAAAACATTGACCGTGGGCAGAATTATTTGCAGGCATACTCACATTTTTGAAGCTGTATTGTACTTTTCTGTTTACCATCGATGCTGAAGATAACAACTCGGTTTCCATACATGTCAGCCACAGCGATCTCATCATCACGTGCAGCGATGGCAAGATAACAGCTGTGTGCACAGCCCTCAAATTTAATCTCACGAAACAGCTCCCAATGGCCTCTTCCACTGCTAACCTGCAATGCGAGTCAATGACACAGCAATGTCGTTCAAAAGGACTAATCGGGGGATGTTCCACATTTCAAAATTCGAATCGAATATTCACACAGAAGCAGGTGTATTTCTCCAACTTACTCGCTTGCCACGTCCAAAGATCGGCTTGATAGGACCCGTTGTTGGTTCCCCTCTGATCGCCTCTTGACCTGAACTCCCTGCTACTTCAGTTGTCTTTTCTGCCTGAAACAAAATATCCACTTACTTTTTGAAAAAAAATCATTTGCAGTGTCACCCAGTGAGGCTTCGCTGTAATGCTCTGGGCTTATATCAAGCTTATCGATTGTGGTTCGTTTGAATTACTGAAGGACTGCAACACCATTTTTTCCTGCAATGAAATCTGGCAGAAACTGCATGATGCACAGGACAGAGTTATCGAACGTTCTGGTGTATTCTGGTGTATTTCTTGTTCCGAATGCTGCAACACTGCTGCTTTCTTGTTAGCCCCGGGTTGCGACACGACTTTCATTTACCGGTCCAAGAGAAGTCATCCTTGAGTCATCTTTGCACCTGTCTCACTCACTGACGCCCTGACTGACCCACTGATTGAGTTGATACTGACGCCAATAATAGGGTTGAATGCTGCCGGATGTGTAGAAGAGGCACATGAACATACTTCTGTCCAAGCAAGCTATGGGACCATTGTTACTCGGCTTGACTTGACTTTGTTGAAATGTGCACCGACATGAAAATGACGACATACTTGATATGTTTTACATGAAGTTTCAAAAAAGTGACCGTCTGACCATTTTTCAAATAACTACAAAACCACGAGGTAAATTTTGAAAATGTTTGGTTGTGCAGATACTCCTGTACGCCTTGGCTTCAACCCCTTTGTTTCATTTAGTTTTAATCACGCAACACTTCGTAATTATCAATTGATCACAACAACATATTTGGACCCTGTGACCAAATTCGTTGCCTTAATCAATTTCAGTGCTGTGTAATGTAAGCTGTGTAAAATCCTGCATGATATAAAAAGTGCTTCGGTTGGAATTTGAATCATTTACTTACTTTATCAACCATCATGACAAGACCTCAGTTTAATGCTCAAGGGCAAATGATTCATCTCCAAAACCACATCAGCCTTTTTTTTTCAGAACATGCAGGCTTTTTACAATTGACCTCATGTTTGTGTTATTATTTTAAAAACACTCTGACTGACACTTTTTGGGACATACTGTGTAATAGTATGTCAAAACTAAAAAGGATTTATTTCAGGGATCTATTTCATTGACGCTTGATAAAGCTTATTAGGCATTCTTTCATATATTCATATATTTGGGTAATTATCTGTCTTACCTGTTGCCTGATTCCCCTACACTTGCAACATCTAGGTCTCTTGCAAGGCATCGTTGGACCAACTGTTTGCTCGTCATTCATCGACTCGACAGTTGCAGTCTTTCCTTTTCTAGTTGCCGTTTTTCTCTAAATAAAAATGAAACCTCATGATTATTTTTAAAACATGAGCTGAAACGTCATTTGCGCTAAATTAATTCCAGTTAAGTTGCAACAGTGTATTCTTAGCTAATAAAGCCTTGATCGGGTTGTCTAGCTATTTTCTTTGGACATATATTACTACACGTATTACTACATTCTGCTTGTACCCTTTCATTCTCTGAATGAAGGTAAGAAACCTAATTCTGCTATTAAAAACGATATTTATGTGTCTCTATGTGTATCTTACCCGTGGTCCTCCCCGCTGGCCACGTCTCTTGCCAGGCATGCTTGGTTCTACACGGTGTTAGTTTAGTGTGAGTGCAGCTAAGCAAGTCTACGGGCACGCTCAGACATATCACCAGATAATGAAGTAACAGTTCAAATTTGATTGTCACGCTGTCGATCAGATGGCGAAATCGGCTCACAGTGTACACATTATGCTTAAAACGTCCGCAGGCAGCGGGCGGATGCGAGTTACAATGGCGCTTGCTATTCAACGAATCGTCATTATGATGCGTTGATAGTTAAATATTAAACCCATTGAACTTTGTGTATCAATAACAACTACGTAGTTGAGTGCGCTCACAACACACAGGTAATGGATCGTACCTTATCTTTGACCTTAAGCTTTCAGACTTTGTTCATTTTAAGCTCACCAGATGCATCTAAACACATGCCCAGCCACTGGGTCATATTGGCCACCGTCGATATCAATATTTTATTTCTTCCAAAGTGAGAAAGTTAATATATAAGGACACTTACTCTTGAATTCATGGGTTATAAAACTGCAGTCGAATGGGGTAACCTCGATCATTTTTAGGCATATTTAACTATTGCTTTTATAACAAACTTGGTAAATTGGATTGCCCCCAATATAAGTTTCCCAGCTATTTTGAAACATTTGTTATTCAAAGTCACCATCTCTAACATTCTTTTTCGTCCTAAAAAACTCACAGGCTTTAAAAAAAACAATTTAGTCATTTGCCATTCAATTTCTAAGTTTGGTCACCCTCTTTATAGTCACCGGGTCGAGAATATTCGTCATTACAGATCAAATTCGTCTAAGCTGTTGCAGCACTCGGAGATTGAATTCGTCTTATATAAATCATTTAGATGAATTTGATTACTGAATAAAAAAGGTTTGGCGTAGGCGAGATAAAATCGAATACTCCGGGACGAAAACGTGTGGTCGTTGTTTGAATTTGCTTGAACTGAATTTGAAATTGTCTGACAAAAGACAAAACGGAAGTGCATTAAATTGATAGTGATGGACGAATTTGAATATTTGAAACGGTGAGTTCGAATGATAACCGGTTTAAAATAGCCGGGAAAACCTGTATTTAAAACATTTAGACTAAACTCTACACTTTGGTGTTGTTTGGTGTCAAAACATAGTATTTAACAAAGGGGTGGGGCCCAAAAACAGATGTGACAAAAATTAATTTCGTTTTGGGGCAAGTTGGCCAGCCCTAATAATACCGCTGGACAAAACATTTCAACATTTTTTTTAATTGTTTCGTTCCAGGTGAAATATAGAAAAAAGGAACATTTGACCCTATATTTCTAAAAAAAAATCCGAGTGCCTCTTTGATTGTGATTCCTTGTTGTTCCTTGACCTCTGACCTTTGACTTCTTGTAATTTGACATTACATAATTATCCACTTCAAATCCACAAGTGCATTACACTTTGCAGTGGCATTTTCTGAAACTAATTATATCAAATTTACTGACGAATGTTGTTTCACAAATATTTATATTCACTTGTAACTAAAATATAGGTGCTGACCAAAGTGACCCTACTGACCAAAGATATCCCATTTAATTCATGGGTTACTTATTACACATCCTCCGTGAGAGCATTTGGGCTGTTTTGGATTTCATCATGAATGGCTCAAGAAGAGCGCGCCACCGCTTGGAAGGATTTCGGAAGCGCATGATTTTGCGAACCACCAGTAGCCGATTGGAGAGTCAACTTTGCGATGGAAATATGTGCCAGATAACGACGATGGCAGCATTTTTAACTTTTCGTATTAGAGTTTACAACATGCAGTTTCAAAGTGTGATTGAGATGATTGGTACCTAATTATCAAATGGGAATTATTATTAATTCCCATTAGAAGTCCTGCATTTCTGAGTTTTGCCTTTGCATGCCGGGTTGCCTACATTGTTGTATTATCAAAAGTAGGTCTGTACATCAAGTTATACACCGGAGTATACAGGGTGAGTCCAAAAAAAAAGCGAAACCCAAATGTCGGGACTTCTGTTTCAGTGAAGTATGCATGTAGCACTTTCAAAATCCAGGATATGAAAGTCCTATGCATAGGCATTCTTTAGTACAAGACTCATTCAAATCACTCATGTACTTTTCAAGGGCGGTTCCAGAACACAATTTTTTGGGGGGGCACAAAAAATGTTGGTCCCCCAAAAAAGTGGGTCCAAAAAATTACGGGGTGGGGTTCGGGGCCCCGAAAAAGTTTTGAATTCTAGATGTTCTCTGGTGCGATCTGAGGCAATTTCTGACCACCTTAACCAATGTGTTTTTTTTTTGAGGTAAAGATGGTGGTGTACTCATCGCCTGCCTTTATTGCGATGTCATATAAAAAATAAAAAAAATTGGTTTCGTTTTTGGGGGGCTCGCCCCCTTGGCCCCCCCCCCCCCCCCCCCCGATCCGCCCGTGGTACTTTTTAAGTTTCGAAATTTTAAACGCAACCACTCTTTTAAAGTTCTGTCCACGGATCACAAAAAAAGGTGAGCGTTCTTTCGTTAGTCCGTTAGCTAATAGTTACAAACGTTGACATTGTCTGTTGCCCCTACATGTTTTAACAGATTTTTCACCGAACTTTGTGAAAATTATCAGTAGCCCAACCTCAGCATGTCACATGACCAAACTGGGGTTAAAGGTCTTCATGGGGTCAGGGTTGTTGTTGTTTTTTTTTTTATCAAAACACTACTCCGTCCAGGAATTACATTGCACATCCACATGAATCATGCATGAACACGAATTCGTTGGCCCGCAGCTTCCCAGATACGTCCGATCGTGCTTGCTTTATTCCATGTTCTGTCTTTCAAAACGACGGGGCTCACTTGCAGGATAACTAGGTGCTTACCACTGCTTACCAAAGACTAACCGAGTGCTTACCTAGAGCTTTCAATAAAGGGAGCTAATCAATTGGCAATATATGTACATAGTATTTTCAGAAAACAAGCTGATTGTTTATCTTTATACCAGTCACTGCAACCCCCCCCCCTCATGCTATAACTTTCCCTTTGACCTTCGCCATTCTTCAACAGTAATGCTTGTGTAACACTGACCCCAAGGAAAGTTGATTTACTGCAGTGTTGGATAACATTCAATTGATTCTAAGTTCTAAGTAAAAAAAAAAATCAATAAATAAAAACAACAACAACGTAGCTTCACTGAAACCAAGCTTGGCTACACTAAATAGCTTCATCATTCGACGAAATTATAATTCAATACAAAAGGTTTTTCTTGATTTATCATCCAAAAAAACGAGTAAGTTTTACTTCAGTCAAGCAGAAAATAAGTTTGACCGTGGTGACAACTTTCTATGCAGCGCGCCCTCTTTTGAAGGAAATTGTATTTGGCTTCAAATCGACTTTTATTTTTCGCGCTAGAAACAAACCAGGACTACATAGTTTTTTTTTTTTTTTTTTTTTTTTATTTCTTGACAATTTATCGTCCGGAAATCGAGTGTTGTTTGTGTTCCATGCATGTTGATTTGATAGGAATGGTAATTTCGTGCTCAACACATCTACAGCACATTGTTTTGGTTAGCCTCAATTTTTTTTTTTTTTGGTTGAGGATTCCTGGGCCTATATTACGAACATTCATGGGACGAACCTTTAATTTGATACAGCAGATATTTCTTGGGTTACCGTCGGACAAATCGGTGTGTTGCTTTCGTTCTTTGTATGTTTGCTTTAATTGGGATCGCAGTTTTCAAGGCGAAACATACCGCATTTTTTGGTTATATTATAGGTTTTCCCAACTATTTTCAAACGTTTATCATTCGAATTCACAATTTCTAATATTTTAATGTGTCCACCAATATCGATTTAGTGCACTTCCGATGTTTATTTTTTTCTTTTGTCAGACAATTTCAAATTCAGTTGAAGCAAATTCAAACAATGAGCACACGTTTTCGTCCTGGACTATTCGATTTCATCTCGTCTAGGTCGAACCTTGTTATTCAGAAATGCAATTCGTCTATTTGATTTATATAAGACGAGTAGGATCTCCAAATCCTGCCATTCGGCATTAGCTTGGACGAATTTGACCTGCATGCAATGACGAATATTCTCGCCCCGGTGACTAAAGAGGATGACCAAGCTTTGAAATTGAACGGTAAATCACTAAATTGGTTTTCTTAAAAGTGTGTGATATTATTTTTTCGTGGACGAAATCGAATGATAGAGTTGATGAATTTTAATGATAAAAATAGTTTAAAATAGCCGGGAAAACCTATATTTTTGTTGTTGGACTATTTTCCCAACGTTTTTTGTTACTTTACAACCAATCATTCAACGGAATTGTTATTCCATATAGCGGATGTTTCTTGCTTTATCGACTAGAAAACGAGTGCGTTGCTTTAATTGTTCCAATAAAGAATAATAATAACATATATAAAAAAATATATATAAAAATATCGAAATGAAATTAGGCTACTCATTCATGACTCGTAGTTTTGATCAAAAAGCCGATCAACACAAATTCAAACTATATTCACAGGTGTGTCACAGCGAAATCGGTATGGCAACCAGTTTGAATGGGACAGTGACCCAGAGCTCCAGAATGACCTTATAAGGCATGCAACTCGATGAATGGCGCTTACTATGACGTATTAGTCATTCATAAACTTGTCACCGAACCCAAGGCAACGATTCGGTACACTGCACCCACACAAAGAAACCCGCCGTAAATAAAGTATGCGTCAAGCATCGTCTGTTTTGATAGTAATCGCGTGCAACTGGTGTTCGGCAGTACTTGGCGTACAGTTTGGGACTGGACGATGTCATGATCAGTTATATTACAAACAGTTAACAAGAAAAGAACTGAGTTTAGCGTTCTTGGTTTGGTTTTGTAGAAGAACTTTTAGAAGGAGAACTTGTGTTCGCAAGATGGATGCGGCAATTTGTCTGATGATTGCTGTAATTCTTACAGCAGGGGAAACTTGTAAGTTCACATTTTTGAAGGTTTGTAGTCAGTTCTATAGGTTTCGAACGATAGACGCTGCAGAAATATGCCAAATCGTTTAAAATTCACAGATATACGCACTGGACACCCGTCTCATTTTTCTTGACAACATCGTGTCAACTATTGCGTCTTGAATAATACTCGTCGTTACTTGCTGTTATCAAACCAACGTGTCTTTCTTTTGCGCTATCGTGAAGTTTCCGCGTGTCGTAAATTCGTTTAAAATTCTTTTCCCCCTCTTCAAGCTGACGATTCGTTCGACTTCAACGAATACGAACGTTTATCAACAGGCAAGTATGCACGGGTTTTGCTTTTCGAAAATAAGTAATTAGTCAATAATAAATTTACTACTTGCTGTTATTCCAGTGAATGCAGACCAGTGTGTTTCCAACCCGTGCAGCAATGGCGGTACATGCTACAACGAATACGGGGGGTACGGCTGCCTGTGCCCGGCCGGTTACAGCGGGCCACGCTGTGAGCAAAGGCAGAACAGCGGAGGTTAGTGTGTTTTTTTTTTTCAAATTTGAATATCGTAATTTTGTTGAACGTTTAGCGCCTGATTCACCCTGCAAAAGGTCTATGGAATATTTTCTTGCACAGCAAGGGTCTATGATAAGCGAGCCGATTTGGCAATTAATTATGCAAAAAGCTGCGTCTTGACCTCGGGATTCTGAATTTTCAGCGGGCGCCTTCTATCTGTTCTTCGGTAACTCGTTGGTGTATGACAAAACCTTTCATAAAAATCAGCCAATCCACAGCTTAGACCACATGTTGTGATTGAATCATTGAAATTTCGTCACAATCTCTAAAGACTATGCTGCGGTGTATCCCACGTTTGTACCGTTGCTCTGCCTACGTAAATGTCTGAACCTCGAACTAACCCCCCCCCCCCCTCCTCCACCTCTCCCCCACCCATCCCCAACCCACGCTTCGAAAACTTGAATAGTGCAAGTAATATGACAGCACGATGTTCTTATCCTTTTGAACAGGGAGGTTGGGTTTCTGCCCTGATATCACAGATGACAGGGTCGGGCTGTGCGTCGAGGATTGCACGGACGATTCGTCCTGCCCAGCCCCGCTGAAATGCTGTTCCAATGGATGCGGCCACGTCTGCACGGCTCCGGTCATAACAGGTGAGTTATCTCCGCTCTTTAGTATGATCAGTATCGCCAATTAGGCCATTTAAGGTAGTTAGAATCATTTGCATTAATCCCAAAAGTAACCCACCAAATCATTAAAGATCGGTTCTGCATGGTACTAGACACCCTGTGAAATTATTTTGTCTGGCTTGCTGTCATTTCAAATATAAATCTATCAATTTAGAACAGTTTATATTTTTTGTGAATATTTCCCCCACTCTTTTTTGCTTCCGGTGTTAAAGAAGTGCAGTTATATTAAAAATAGGGATTTCGATTTTAAAACTGTCATTTTGGGGGTGGATATTTCGTTAAACCAAATTGTTAAATCAAAAACATTTTGGTAACAGCGTTAAATTGTGGTTGTTCAGTTTCATTCCCGTTTCAAATGACACGCTCTATTCTACAAGAATTAACAACTGGAATTCACTAACAAGCCGATAGTACTTTGGAAAAGGGAATCCAAGAGCGGATCCAGAACACAATTTGTTGGGGGCCAACAACTATTGTTGTTCCCCCAAAAAAATTTCCGAACAATTTACGGCGTGGGGTTCGGGGCCCGCTTAAGGGCCGGGAATTGTTTTGTTTTTGTTATTTCTGTTAGATTCCAGATTCTCTGTTGTGCGATCTGAGACAATGTTTATTTCTGACCACTTTAACCTCATTTTGTTGAACAAAGAATTAAGCCTTTTTTTTGCGACCTCACTTAAAAACAGAAATGATTATTTTTTGTTTGGGGGGGGGGGGGGGGGGGCATGGCTCCTGTTCCCCGCCCCCTCCCTGGATCCGCCGTTGAGGGAGTCCAATTACAATTGTACACACAGTCACTTTGCGTGAACGCAAAGTGTTATTAGCTTTTGTCATATTTCCTTTCAATGTTGTGTTTATTTATAGAGGACATTTGCGGCAATGGCGGCACGTGCGTATACAACACCACTTTCCTGACCACTTTACCCTCATTTTGTTGAGCAAAGAATTAAGTGGTGTACGCAGGGGCTGCCTTTTTGGCGACCTCACTTAAAAACCAAAATGATTCTTTGGGAAGGGGGGCACGGCCCCTGTTCCCTGCCCGTCACTGGATCCGCTGTTGAGGGAATCCAATTACAAAGTGTCATTAGCTTTTGTCATATTTCCTTTCAATTTTTGTGTTTATTTGTAGAGGAGATGAATTGGTGTATGTCCAACCCGTGCGGCAACGGCGGCACGTGCGTATACAACAGGCATGGGTACGGGTGTCTGTGCGATGCTGGTCGATTCGTCGGCAGTCACTGTGAAGTACCTGTTCTCCAGTCCCCATCACCATCGTCGTCATCGTCGTTTCCTTCATCCCCATCACCACCATCACCATCACCACCAGCAACATCGTCGATATCACCACCATCTTCATCATTGTCTTCATCATCAACATTGCCAGGTTAGCGTCTCCTTTAAAATAGATCATGTGGTCTATGACGTGGCATATTTTGCATGCCATTTGGCCCACATTAAACAGTATGGGCCTATGTCAACACTAGTCTTTTAAACATCCATATTTCAAGAGATATACACGCAGTGCAGAAGAGAACCGTTTGCCTAACGTTGGCATCACGTGACCACAATATCCAATTTAGAAAACAAATTTCACCTAGTCTATTGACCTGAAGCATAATGACGTCATGCTTTGTTTACACGTGCGCTGTCTTATGTGAGTTTGGCAGTTCTGTCCCAGCCTCGCTCTCATAAGAAATCGCACATGTAAACAAAGGGTGATTACATCATTATAAAAGTGATTCAGATCTATCTGGTACGACCACAGCCTCAAAACTCGCGCCGTGGATTAAAAGTCTGACACCGGCTTGCGCGCTTTTGACCAAAAAAATCCACCCATACATTCCGTGGAGTGATAATTTCTTGAACAACGCAAATGTATTATATGAAAAGTTCGACTGCGTCGAAAGTTGTACTTCCGCGTGCAGACATTTAATTCATCCTTAAGTCCATACAGCATTTGGATTGGTGCGACACTGGAAAGCCACTCTGAACGAAACGGGCCTCAACTGCGTTCTGAGAAACCCACTCATAAGATCATGCAAGATTGCAAAATTAATGTTTTCAGTAGGCCCTATGGTGAAGAATATAAAATGTGTTCATGTTCATTAAGAGTAACTTTCAAGTCAGGCCTGGATTTAGTATTTCGTAGGCCCTAGGCATCAGTGTTCCGAAGAATGGAGAAGGAAGGGGAAAGGAAGAGAGAATAAGAACAAAGTGGAGAATGTAAATAATAAACATCGCTGCTCAAAACTCCTCGAAGCTAAAATCCGGTTCTGAAACCCATGCCAAAAGATTGTACATTCTGTCATGTCGGCACAAGCTGCAGCGCGAAGTCGCTTCATATACGGGGGTTGACTGCTACAACTGTGCATATAAAAAAAATATGAAAATATAAATAATCCACTATAGGATTTAAAGACACCCCCCCCCCCCCCGCGCTGATGTCTGGGATCAGGGAACAGGCCTGAACAAGATATGCGCAAAGGTACCAAGGGCGGATCCAGAACACAATTTTTGGGGGGGGCCAAAAAAAAATTTGGTCCCCCCAAAAAAAGTGGGTTTCAAAAATTACGGCGTGGGGTTCGGGGCCCGCTTAAGGGCCCCGAAAATTTTTTGATTCTAGATGCTCTGTGGTGCGATCTGAGGCAATTTCTGACCACTTTAACCAATTTTTTAGGAGGAAAAGATGGTGGTGTACTCATTGCCTGCCTTTATTGCGATGTCACATTAAAAAAAAAAAAAAATTGGTTCCGTTTTGGGGGGGGGGCCATGGCCCCCTTTGGCCCCCCCCCTGGATCCGCCCTTGAAAGGTACTGAGCATGTACATGCAGTTTTGCGACAATGAAATAAAAACATTATAGCTGGATTGAATTTTGTATTTTCGAACAATTTTAAAAATTAATTTCGAACGATTAAAATACAAGCTCTCAAAATAACAAATTAATCATTCTTGCAATTGTTCTCCAATAGAAAAGAAAGAAAATAAAACAAAAAGTTATGTGGCGATGGCCAAGTCTTCAGGAGTCGGACTTATGACCCTAACTCAATGAGCCCCTTACCGACTTCCATATAGAACTCTTCTGGGACTCGGTACCCGGCCCACCACACCTCCTTCCCTGTCCATCCATGTAACTCGAAAGTCAGGCACCATAAAGGGAGGAAACGAGGTGGCACCCTAAGCCTTGCTGCCGAGTCAGCAAAAGAACCCCGTACCTATACGCAGATGCCAACCTGGACTTCCCAGACAGTCCCAACTTGTGAGTCAGCTTACCGACCGACCGAGCTAACTGCTGTTGGTAAATGACCACGGGAAATAAATACTCTTCAATGACAGAACTGCGGTCAACGAAAACCAAAAAAATGACACCATGCGGTTTCGAACCCCTAACCCTGGGTCCGCTGTCAGACAGCTTAACAACTATGCTGTTTCAGTAGGTGCTTTTCTCTTTGCGTTTAAAAACATAATCCTTAATTCCACAGTGGGAGACTTACTCTGTGTTTCATAGCTGCGCGAAAGATGCATCAGCATCGTGCTATACACATGAATGCTGTTACGTAACTCTTTTCTACAATCATTCTTATGTACCGAGCAGTTGACTATTCAGAGTCACTACGAGCAATTAACCTCACCATGCTCGTCCTTATTCTGTCTCATCGATGATTGTTTCGCGTCGCGCGTCTTTCGGCCGACGCTGATATGTCGCTATCATTGAGATAATTTCTAGCAAGTTTCCTCCACCTCATTATATTTATATCAAACTACTGACCCATTTACAATTTTTTTTACGAGGGAATTTTGTTTGTCTGATTCTAATTCAGCTCCCTTAGCTAGCTTGGGAAAATTCATCCGGGGGGGGGGGGGCTGGACACCTAATTATACTGGGACGCTCTTACCATTTATGTTTACTCGCGCTTACATTTTTGAAAGCTTTTGTACTTTGTTTCTCCACTTTCTCTGCTACTAAATACATTTTAGTTTCTCACGACAAAAAAGTGGGGGTAATTCAATATACAAATATAACATGGTTTGAGGGTGGACAGTCGATATTCGCTCCCCGAGGTATTGGAAGTTGACAAACTAGTTCCTGAGGCGAAGCCGAGGGAACTAGTTTGTCAACTCCCAATACCGAGGGGAGCTAATATCGACTGTCCACCCGAAACAAACCTTGTTATATTTGTTTTACTATACCTCATACATATTCAGTTGCCGAATTTTGTTTTATTATTATGCACCTAAACAAAATTTGGGGAAACTTGTACAGCTCACCAAAAGATTCAACTTCAATTACTAGTTCGGTTCGTTTGCAATATAATACAGTTACTACAGTTGTAAATACAGTTGTTTGCAATGTGTACAACTTTCTTTTGTACAGGAGACATCTTTACACGGTCTATACATTTTCTCCAGTACAGCATCATTGAGCTCTGTAAATTAACATTTACGCGAACCGTGCACCCGTGCGACAGTTCCTCGATTGCTCTGTAAAGCGCATGCGTAATAGACTGTCGCACGGGTAACCCATGCGACAGTCTACTACACATGCGTATTTACAATGTGCGTGAATCCTCGCGCGCGCGTTTGGTAAACAGCAAGAATAACATCTGGCACGTGATGGTGAATTGACCAGTGAACGTTCGGCTCTCGATCATGAATATGTATGAGGTATAGTAATAACCCATCCCCGCGGTCAAAAAGTGTGGGGTATAACCCCCACCCCACCCCCTACCCGGGAATTACACCCCTAATGACGGCGAACGGAGCCAACAAGCCTGCCACTCGCATGGTCTTTTTTTTCGAGTCCGGGTTGCCATACGCCTGACTCAAGTCTACGATCACGAAAAGGCCTTTGAGATGAAACAAAGCAAATCCATGAATCTTTTGCCGACTGAACGATCTAAATTGGGGTCGTATTGTGTAGAAGCGAGTATAATTTTTACTAACACCTGCACATGTAAAACGCCAATCGGCGGCGGCAGAACGTTCTTATAACTGAGGGCATCACCAAAAAGAGGCATTTTCTCAGAATAAAAAATTCCTTCAGTAAAAGAGGAGAAAATTGTGAAACTGTTTTCGTTTGCATTGCAAGGAATACATGTTACCCAGAGTAAAATTTACAACCAACATCTACATACACTTTTAAAAATGTTTGCATTACATTTTAAAAGCGTATAAAAGGAGCACTATTATTTCTTTGCGGGACAGTTTTCCATTTTGAGAGGGGCATATTTTGTTTTATTGCGAGAGGGGTCATTCGTGTTTTCGAGGGATAGTTTTCCATCTCGAGAAGGTTCACAATCTTGTTAATGCGCGAGGGGTGTTTGTGTTTTTGAGGGGCACATTTGCATTACAAGAGAGGGATCATTTTTAAACGCAGTCATAATGCTTTCGTGTGCGCTTCAAGCTCATTTTCATCTCGAGGGGGCACATGTGTGACCTAATGTGGCAAAATGAGGAATTTCCCCCAAAACCATGCTATGAGTAATCAACGCATGAAGTTGGATACACTAGGAAAATCATGTAATAAGAACCGGAAAATCTCCCTGTCTAAAAAAAAAAACATTATAAAAATATGTGGCTATAGATTAGGCCTATTTGGGGTGGGGGTACAAGGATGGATCCAGAACACACTTTTTTGGGGGGGGGGGGGGGGAGGGGGGCTGTACAAATCAAGCATGGCCAAACTGGTATAGGTCCTAGCTCTCTGAGAGAGACCCTAAAACTTGTGTAAACACTTTTCTCTGCGCGTGTGTGTGTGGGGGTAGGCCTATGTGTTTTATGGCACACTGCGGTAGTTTCGTAGGCCTTCCCCCAAGTTTTCGTTGGCCCCCAAATTTTTCATAGGCCCCCATTTTTTTCCGTAGGCCCGAGGCACAGTGCCTACTATGCCTATTGCGTAATCTGGGCCTGCACGTTATTCCAATAACCTAGCCTAATGGGTCTTCTGAGTGGCTCAATGTTTGACCATATGTTGTTGTTGTTGTTGTTGTTTTTTCCTCGGGGGAACCGTATTTATTTAGAAGAAACGTTTCATTTGCGTTTTACAATATGTAAATAGTTAATCAATAAACGCTGTGGATAAGATTTTTTATTTGTTTTTAGACATCACCATACTTATTACATATGGAACAGTCTGATATCGATTTCATATCATCAAAATAATGACAATAGTAAATAATGTCATAAATACAACAACAACAACGACAACAAAGGCATTTCGGTTTTGTGAATGAGACATGGTGTCGATCTATTTGGGAAACAAATAATCAATGTAATCAATTTATTTTCAGGAGACGACAATCCTGGTAGCCCTGAGGACGTCGCTGGTAACCAACAGCTGCCGACGGCCATCATTATCGCTGCGGTTTGCAGTGTAATAATAATTGTAGCGATACTGGTGCTCACCGGGATTTTCTTGTACCGAAGAAGGTGAGTCGCCATGTCACGAATAGTTCTAGGGGACAATGGAAGACAGGTTTCCCTCAACCCCGTTCCCATGATGTCGAGCAGTACGCTCCCACCACTACCTGCTCTCTCACACTGGTATTGGATCATTTGCATATCCATTTTTGGGGGGATACGTATGCAAATAGAAGAGGACGCTGCTCCGTGGCGACCACCCGTGTGCATTTTCTGTCTCGTCTTTTTAGTCTTTTCGTCACGTTTTTAACCCGTATTTCGTAAGTTTTTACCCTTTTTGATGTGTGTGAGGTGTTATACTAACCTCAAGGAACATGTTGGTGCGCCAGTTTTTATTCTCTGCACTGTTAATCGGTGTAATTCGTCATGCTTCTACTCAACTAGCTGAGCTCCCTGCGAGTACAGTTTATGAACGGCCATTGCCCATTGTGTATACACGGGAGACATTGTTAAAACTGAGGTCAACGGTCACAGCCACACCTGGTCTGGAGACGGACATTCCACCTGAGACCCGCTCGACCCAACGTAAAAGAGGCAAGAAAGGAGGCATCAGAGTGCGACTTCGTCGGCGGAAGTACAATCCTCCTCTACCTTCAATCATTTTAGGTAACACTCAAAGCCTTAGAAATAAACTTGATGAGCTGAAAGCGTGTACAAACTACCGCTATGAATTCAGAGACAGTAGCTTAATGTGTTTTAGCGAGACCTGGTACAATCACACTGACACCACTTTTGATACGAGCATTGAAGGCTTTTCATGTGAACGATTGGACAGGACCGCAGAGTCTGGCAAATCTACTGGAGGTGGTGTATGTGTATATGTTAACAAGCGCTGGTGCACCAACGTAAGTGTTGTGGAACGCTTATGGTCACCCGACATTGAACTGCTCACCGTTGGTTTGAGACCCCACTACCTACCCCGAGAATTTAACCAAATTTTTGTAACAACTGTATATATTAGCCCTTCTGCAGATGCCGACATTGCCTCATCAAAAATTGTTGAACTGATAAATCATCTTGAAACTCGGGCTCCCCATGCGGTGAAGCTTGTTTTAGGTGACTTTAATCACTGTGAACTTGAGCATACACTTCCTCACTATGACCAGTATGTTACGGTTCCCACCAGGAAAGACAAGATTCTAGATAAATGTTATGGCAACATCAGAAAGGCCTACAAGACACATGGAAAAGCAGGTCTCGGCCTCTCTGATCACAACATTATTCATCTTCTTCCTGAATATAAACAAAAGCTGAAACAACATAAACCTATTATCACAAGAAACAGGAAGTGGACAAACGAAAATATTGAAACCCTCCGAGGATGTTTTGAATGCACAGACTGGGATGTTTTTTTTCGGCCAAAACACTATTGATGAAGCTACAGAAGCGGTGGGAGACTACAGACTACATCAAGTTTTGTGAAAACTTGGTTATTCCTGAGGTGGAACACAAATTTTGTCCGAATAACAAACCGTGGATAACCAGAGAAATCCGTTGCCTTTCTGGAAAGGAAACACAAAGCTTTCCGTGATGGAGATCTTACTGAAAAGCGGAGAGTGCAGAGGGAGATAACCAAACATATTCGTCAAAGCAAGAAGAAATATGGAAAAACCATCGAGGACAATTTCAGACAGCACGATTCAAAAAAAGCTTGGGCTGGACTAAAGTCCATCACAGGAATTGGTAAGAAAACTAACTCCTACATTCCAACCTGCGACCCTGGCACCTTCGCCAATGATCTTAATCAGTTCTACACCCGTTTTGATGACTCTGACTTCAGTCTAGTCAACAACCAGCTTTGCGACGATCTGCGGAGCCAAGTAGACGACTCCAATAGGATTCAGCTCAGCGTTCCTGCGATTGAGAAATCTTCCAAGCGTATCAAGGGCAACAAGGCATCAGGTCCTGATGGTGTTTCTGGGAGAATCCTGAGGTCCTGTCATAAAGAGCTGTCTTATGTATTTCATAGACTGTTTCAGTGGTTTCTGGACTTTAACATAATTCCCAAAATTTGGAAAACCTCAACTGTCATACCGATTCCAAAAATACCCAAACCCACAGCTATGAATGACTTTAGACCTATTGCTCTCACATCGTCAGTTATGAAATGTTTTTAAAGTGTAATTAAGGATCTTATCTTGGTTCAGACAAAGGCTTACACTGACCCTGCCCAGTTTGCCTATCGTTCGGGCAGAAGTGTGAATGATGCCATTTTAACACTTGTGCATTATATTTATGAACATTTGGATAAAACTCACAACTATGTCAGAACTTTGTTTGTAGACTTCTCATCGGCTTTTAATACAATTCAGCCTCATTTATTGACTGGAAAAATGGATAGAATGTGTGTCAATCCCCATATCTGTTTGTGGATTAACAGTTTTTTAACTGATCGAATTCAAAGGGTTTTATTTATGAACTCAGTTTCTAATTACATCCATATTAGTACTGGAGCCCCTCAAGGCTGTGTGTTGTCCCCAGTGTTATTTTCACTTTATTCCAGTGACTACAGAACCGGTGATACATCATGCCCTATAATTAAATATGCTGATGACACCTCTCTGACGGGATTGATTTCTATGAATGATGAATCTGTTTATCGCAAAGAGGTAGCTAATTTTGTTAAATGGTGTGATCTTAATTATTTAACACTGAATGTGTCCAAAACTAAAGAAATTGTGTTTGACTTTCGTAAATCGAAGACTGGTATTGAACCTATTTATATTAATGACACTAGGGTTGAAATGGTCGATAATATTAAGTATCTTGGTACCTCCATTGACAACAACTTTGAATTGGAAGATCAATTCTCAGAAACTTGTGGCTAGGGCTAACCAGAGGATGTTTTTTGTCCGGAAGCTGAAATCATTCAATGTTTGCAAAGACATTTTATTTCTTTTTTATCAAAGCGTTATCCAATCTATCATCACCTTCTGTATTTCCTGGTACGGAAACCTAAGAGCCATGGACAGACACAGACTGGAACGTGTCACCAAATTGGCCTCCAAAACAATTGGCCTGGACGTTAGGGATTTACATTGTATGTTCGAATCTGCAATTATCTCTAAACTACATGACATAATGCAAGATCCTTCCCATCCGCTCCATTCTTCGGTGGTTGTCAACAAATCAGGAAGAATTCGCCCTCCACGAACCCGCACTAAGCGCTTCAGAATGTCATTCTTGCCTAATGCGTGCCATCTATTCAACACTCAATTCAAAAGATAATCCCCTGTTTTTTGTCTTGTCCTTTTTTCTGGTATGCTGGCATCCACTGACGTGTTTTTATTGTAAAGAGCTCTTTTTAATTGTGTCTCTTACTAGGTTCCTTGTCATAACAATCTGGTTTTTTATTGTTGGATGACAACCTTGTAATTTTTGATAGTCTGTAAATATAGTCTCTGTCATACTGTGTTAATATTTTATAGTACCTTTTGTTTTTTACATCAAATTTTATTTATTTTGCATTATATCTATGGTCTTATTGTACATGTATAATGCACACTGGAAATCAATTTTCATGTTTTTTACGTGACGAGTATAATAAATTGAATTGAATTGAATAAGGAATAGTCTGGTGCCTGCGTGTGCTTTACATCAGCGCTTGTTTTTGTTTATTGTGTCTGAGGTAAAAACAGAATCAATTCGTCGCGGCGTGAGTTACGAAAACACTTTTTGTTTTTCATAGTTCAAATGTTACAATTTTTTATCCAGCCAATATGCAGTATTCCTTTTCATATTAATATTATCAGATTGGACAGAAAATGATTATTTTTGAGAAGGAGGAAATTTTAGAAATTACACTGAACATGAAAACACGTAATACATGTTGCAAATATAAATCCATTAGCTACTAATTGCGCTATCTAATCAGGATACAGGAAGCAAGTTCCCATCCCAGGACTTACTGTTGGAAACGAGGTTGAAATAAAGTAAGCCCTGATACAAGGTTGAGGTTTCCCCTACACAATACCCTCCAAATTATCATCAGCATATTGAAATGTTCATGTGATTTTCAATCATCATAAGGACAAGCAGAAAGGTAAAAACAAAACGCGACAGAGCGCCCAAAGGCTTCACCCTGCAGTCATCACAGTGGCGTGTTGATTTGGTTCTTTGAAATATATGCATAACTATGTAAACATTATAAGGGTGGTAAAGCGTCGTCAGGGTTTCTTTTTCACAGACAAAAATTACCACTGAACTATGAATCAAAACAGCCTCACAATAACTCGCCTACGGAAATGAGTCGCCTGTGACAGAAAAAAAACACCCAATAACACCAAAACATCTGTTGATTTAATGTGTGTGTTAGTGTATTGGTACCAGATTATCTTCAACACTACAAATAAGAACAAAAGAAGTACGTTTCCATTTGTGCTGATCGATGATACACCGAACGGTTATCGACTGATAGTCCGGTGATATTGAAAAGACAAGAAATTATTATGTTGTTATTTAATTTCCCCATCATTTGGTTTATTTATGACACAGAAATCAGACGACTGATTCAGACACCGTATCCGTGGACAGCGGGAAGCAGATCATAAAGAAGGGTCCGGAGACGGGTCAGGAGCCTTGCTACATGGAACATGGACATCAGATTGCCTGAAGATGGGAACCAGCCGATGTCCTCCACCCCACAGTCATTGCAACAACATTATTTAAGCCATACAGTTTGATTTTCGGGTGTGTTGTTCTAAAAATCTTAATAGAATAATAGACATGAATTATTCATGACTTTGCACTTGATGAATGCTTCAATAGCACCCCCTCTAAAAACCAAAGGCAAAGGTGTTCGTCGCAATTCACTTGGCCCTAGCGGCGGTGGAACGGTTTCAAATGGGAAGGGGGGGTGCATTACCGAAAAGGGGTATTTTTTTAAATATTTTTTTCACATCCGTGCTGAAATGTAAACACCCATAGCGCCCCCCCCCCCCCGGTTCTGCCGCCCCTGCTTGGCCCGAACTGTGTAAAGTCTGTTTAATTCGTCTCACGGCTTCGCTCAGTTTC